TAAACCGAAAAAAGAATCTGCTGTGGTATTTGCTGGTTCATAACATTGTGGCTATAATCAACGACCGTCTTCATTATCCCAGTCGTTTCATTTCATAATCATCGGCGTGGATAATTGCTGTAAGACATCAAGCTGTTTAAAACGTATCCGGATATTTCCAGCCCTCCTCCTCGCTATTCGTCTGAGCCGGTTTCCTGCCAGACGTATCAATTTACAGATGAGCTGCCGATTACGTTATTATATTGGCCGCGTTCCTGCTATATCCTGGAACCGTACAGCCCCAATCAGTTCACACCAGCATCACACATGTGATAACTGAACAAAATAAAATAGGAATCCCACGTATTTCCGAAAGTAATACCCGTCGTTTATTTCCGTTTACAGTTACTTGCATTAGTCAAGGCCAGCCATTACTTTTGGTTCAGTAAGAAAATGCAGAACAGTTAGCCTGTAAATAAGTCATTAATAGATAGTAATTTGGCAAAATACAATTCCGTTTCTTTTAAATATGTTTTCCAATCACCGCTTCGAAGGCCCCATTGCTTCCAGTTGATCAGCAAGCAGTGCAGGGGGACATGTGCTGTAATGGACATTGTCCCCGAACAGCGGCGCTACAGCTTAATCTTGATTCGAATTACTACTTTCAAGGATTCTATTACGAACACGTCATCGTGTACACGGGGCCTCAGTTTTCCGGATAACTAGACGCTGTTCCGTCCTGCACAACTGAAAACCTGCTGGAATATCCCGAGGAACCTTTTCCGGCCAACACCGGGATCCAGCCCGAGACCTCCTACTTAGTCAGCGAATGCCTTACGACTTGATCCACATTGGCTCCCGATGAACGACTGGCAGTATTTCTGTCAAAGTGATTGTAATCAATTGATGACAAAATGTCCGCTACTGACAACGTGTAGGTATTTATTCACATAATGAGACCATGGTGGCTAAGTGAATAATTGGGGCTACTTCTTAGATAAAACTTCATGAGGCTACCTTTACTGTAGTGTCTCTCATTCTAGACACTTCTGGAAGAAGAACATTTTCTTAATGAATTAATATATTGATCAAGTCAGTACTACTACCAGGAAGACATCCATCATTCTGTAGCCCTATATATATCACACGATGCTGTAATATCATAGTGTATATAATTAGACCATATTATGTAACCATTTAGAATTGACAAAGAAGTCATTCCATCATTAGACATGTCGATTCCGGTGTGATGCTATACATGGAATTTTCTGAATGTTATTAGAGCGTATTCATAAAAAGTAGGCCAGCGAAACCTCCAGACAAGACTTACCAAAAATGTTTGAATTGAGGTTTTGGAATCTGTTCAGACCTATTAATCTACAGATCAACATCAACTCTTTAAAATATATTGTCTAATCTTGACGAATCTATTCGTCTGAATCTACATGTTATTGTAGACTGTATCGATTCCTTGGGTATACGGAAATAATCATGTATGAGTAAAGGGAGGCGAATCTCTGAAATCTTCTGGACGCAGACCACCAATTAATTTCCAGTAATGTAGTTCTATCAGGTTGTTGTGTATGTTCAATGTTTACAGGCAGACGGATAACATAGGTAATGCTACGTTCCCACTATCACGATTCACGCTACGATTTAAATCGTGGTTTTAATCGTGGAGTAATCGTGGTAATCCTATTGGGTCTTATCATATATTGAGGTCAGTTATAGCAATCGTGTGGATCGTATCGAAACGTATCCGAACGCATTTGCACGTACCAGATCGTTTACTCAATAACGACAAACTTATCGTAAAGTATCACACGACAGTTGGAACCTAGCATTAGAGGTCGGTTACTATGATGTGTACGATGTGTACGGTGGGCTGTTGCATGTATACTAATATGCCACTTTACATTTTTGTATCTCAAAATTTCAACGGTCAGTCTCATTCGGTGGCGTAGAGCGTTCAGCTCAACAAACATTTGGGGAAATGTTGGAGCCAAGCAAAGAGACCTGGATAATAACCATAAAAATGTCTATGGATAAATTAATGGTGGTCTGAATCCTTCTGACTAATTTTGGGTTATCTCCCATTAATAATAGTAAATTAATTGTCTAAAACTCGTGGGGTGGGGTCATGTTTCTGACATTCTGGAAGAAGAAGTAAATAAAACGGATATTAACGGATGGATAAATTTAATCTGTAAATAATGAGGTTAACAGCAATAGCTACCCCCTCTCCCACCCCCTACACTAGTCAAATATACAGGATAAAGCACAATAATAAAACTTTAAAAATACATTTACGTAAATCGGAGTGTTGGTGGCGCTGTGTTGAGATAAAGCTGGGCAGTGGCGGCGCCCGAATTTTCTAGTAGGCTCGTGGAGAAAAGGGTGGCGGGCACTCCACCGAGAAAACACTTTTAGCGATACGCGATTTGAAGTATGTCAAAATATTCTCAGATTTAAGTTAAGAGTTTATTCAAATTGTCTGCCTGATTTTAACTAAAATATAGCCATTTATAAAACTTTTGTTGTTTTGATTAATACATGAATAAGAAACTATGTGCCAAGTTTTGTGTTTCTGGATCATAGATATATCTCATAAACTGTGATTGAAAGTTAAGTCAATTCTTAACTCAAGTCTGAGAATGTTCTGTGAATTCGGACCCTGATATTAGTGATAAGGAATACACTCAACAGAAATAACTGCATCTTAACATTGATCAGAAATAACTGCATCTTAACATTGATCAGAAATAACTGCATCTTAACATTGATCAGAAATAACTGCATCTTAACAAAGAAAGAATATTGGCTTATATATGAAAAGTTAATACACAGCCTGTTTTCGATTGGCAAATGGATGGCCGAATGGTTAAACACGTCAGATCACAAGGTCTGGTGTGATTTCGACTCTCCGCTTGTACGTGAGAAGGAGTAGGGCCGCTTATCCAACCACGTAGGTTTTCTCCGAGTCCTCCCACTACTAACGCGTCTGTGATGGTTTTAGCAAACAATACATCAAAATGTTATTTAGAACTTTGAAAGTCTTGTAAATGATGATTTCTACCAATCTAGGCTGGCTCCTGGTATAAGTGAATAGGATACTCTAGATACTGGTTGCTCGAGTATTGGCTCATCTCCTAAAACAAGAATACGACTAATGGGTTCAGGATTTCCGGGTTTATAAACCCTACTAATTATGGTAGGTCTGGTTGAGATATAATTCGACCTTGACCTGCGTGATCTCGAGTTGCGATAAAATACTCCTTCAGGAATAACTGCCTTTCTTAGCCTATTACCATGGTGATGCTTTGGTTTCAATCTAATGTCAGTGAAATGTCCAGCGTTTAAGCCTTTCAATGTTCCTTGGTCTAGTCTTTCTCGGTGCTCGCCGTGATCAAAACCATGTTTATTAGTTCTTGTTTTCTGATGCCACTTACGATGATGGTTCAAGTGATGTTTTTTCGATTTTCTCCGTTGCTGTTTATTTTTATGTTTGTTAACTTTTTCATGCCAGCTTGGAAATTGGTGACGATCTTGACCGCGAGAAGCATATAGAGGGTGTCCAGTCAATATATTGTGAAGTGAGAAAGAGCCATCTCTGCCTTCGTGTGTTACCATAAAGGAGTCCTGCGCCGCGCTTTCTTTTACTAGGGATGAAAGACAACATGCCGAAATAAAAGACAGGATTAACAAGATGGTCGTAATCTTCATATTACCTGTTGATAAAAGGAAATTGAGAATCTGAATAACTTCTTTTTGAAAATGCTTTTAAGATCTTTCAGATCATAGCTGGACGTTATTGTTATAATAGCTTACAAATAGATCATGAAAAATGCGTACTGTTTATCGAAAATTTATTCCAAGATTTTTTGTTAGGTTGTGAGGGGTTGTTTTGGGAGGGAGTTAGGGGAGGGGGCGCTGTCATCATCCACAACAATAATGAGGGTACAACTCTATGCGTAAAGGGCCACCATATTTCTAATCATGTAAACGACAGCCCAGCCCTTCCAACGACAGCCGGCCTGAAAAAAATGGACAAAATAATAATCTAACCTGTAAACACTGTTGTCGCTGAATTCCTAATATTCGATTAAAAGATAAATCGTTGATAACGAGGATAATATTCAGGTTTTTAGACCCCTTGTTGATACATTGAAGAGACCTGCACGCACAGTCCTATTATAGTCGCCATTTGTATACGTGAAGATACGGTTGACCAATTCATTTGTAAAGGTATCAGTCATGAGATCTTATCGGTAAATAAGCATCATCACAAGCCATGATGTGTAGAATTTGATATATAGATTTTAATCAAATGTCCTGAAAGTGTTTTTCGAAGATGCAATTATTCACTTCAGTTATTTCGGGATGAAACAGATGAATATTGTCGTTATCGCTGACTTTAAATTCAATCTGAAACGGCCCCAGGCAATAATAACGTGTTTGATGTAAACTGGAAGCAATGCACCACATAGCGCACGTAAATGAAACGTTAACGATACTTGACTACTTTCTGATCACAGTCAATATCATGTCACACGACCAGCTATATGCACATAATTAGGAAAAAAGAGAGAGAGAGAAATGGGGTTTAACGTCCACTCGACACAAACTAGGTCATTTCGGGACTAACACGTGGTTTAATTTTTTATTTCAATAATTCGCTTGCGCGTAGGGGTCTTTAATAGCAGTGGGAGGACCCGGAGAAAACCCACGAGGTTGGACAGGCGACCCTACTCCTTGTCACGTACAACCGGGGATAACACACACAATTAGGACTAACCCACACAAGCATATAGAAATGGTAGTCGTATATTTTATAAATTTGCCACGATATTTAATATGAAACATGACATGCTCAGAGGAGATCGGAATTTAAGATAATTCATGAGCCAAATACTATTTGTAAAACCGTCCATGCCCATCTGTAAAAATAGTAAAACCATCCACGCCCATATATTTACTCTCCATCCACGTGTAAAGACAGTAAAACAAATTAAAAAAACCAATGAAATATGAAATATCTGTATTTAACATCTCGTTTATTTAAAAAGAAAATTACTGATACAAACAAAGATATAAAGATATATCCCTTAAGAGATTAAAGGGTCAACTATTAAACTTATTTTTTTCTGAAAATAAAGTTCGTCTAATCAGTTGGGAAAATGAATATATTTAGTCAATAATTAATGAAATAAGATATCCGTATTTGTCAACCACTAACGTCTGCCATTTGAAGTCCCAATGGGCAGTTAAAACACGGCAACTAATAGTATACATGTACATATTGTATATATAATGATAGCATATATAATGATGGTATACATATCGTATATGTAATGATGGTATACATGTACATATCGTATAAATAATGATAGTTATACATGTACATATCGTCTATATAATGATAAAATATATGTAATGATGGTATACATGTACATATCGTATACAATAATGATAGTATGTACATATCGTATATATAATGAAAATATACGTGTATATATCGTATAGATAATGATAGTATACATGTACATATCGTATAATGATTAAGTTAAAGGATGAAATTTGACTATGTATATACAATGAAACAAATTTGAAGCTATACCTTAGCATTCTGAAGACGATAATTTTCCAGTTGATGATGCTGCTGAGGATGATGCTTTGGTTAAATTGTCACCAGTGCGTTTCCATACATTCGATAAACACACGGCTGACTGTATACGATAAAATATAACAAAGGGCCAGGCAATGTGGATAAGTATATACCATGATAAATTTCCGAAGAATAAAATTTGAATGGGGTTTGTTTCTGCATTTTGAACAACAACTGTATCAACACCAAATAAAGCCATATTCGAAACTAAAAGAAATGTTGTTGCCTCGCGACCAGGTTTAAGATATTCTTGATCTCTACTTCTAATACGCATGCGTAATCCGCAAAATATAGCCACGGTTTGTGTGGTGGCTTGCAAAATAATAACGACGCTAGCCCCAGTAAGTAACCTCGAAGGGCTTTCCGTGACATGGTAGGCAGCTATTATACTGAACAGATGAAACATATAAATACCGGATAGCGATATTAGCAACAACACTTCCTCGAGATCCAGCGTTTTGTTTGAGTTGAATTGCAGATTGCGCATGTTCCAAAAGGCCAAGATGGCAGCCAGTAACAATATGGCACCCACAACGAGGTCCGAAATATATAGCGTTTGGAAAGCGGCAATCCGACTCTCGTGGTTACCACGCTGTAATACTATAAATATTATAGACACGATTACGGTTACAACCAAGAGAAAAACGCCAAAGAAGAGACCTTTGCTAGAATTCGTACAATCGATATTCAATCTGGAACGTTTGACCTTCACCTTGGCATCCGCTTTGTTTTCTTGATTCTCACTGTTACTATTGTTACCAATATTTTTCCACATTATATACGTTATGCCTAAAAAGATAAATAAAGCAACTGGTGAATTAGCTCAAGAAGAGTATGACATATCAACAGCTCTCCTCCTAGTTTAAATTCATACACTCGTTAATAGCGTTAAAGCTGCAATTTCATATTTATAAGTTATATTTTTAAAATTTATTAAAATAAAGCCTTAAAATAGATGGTATCCATAAACCGTCCTGCCTTGTCAAAGAATAATCCTATTAATCCTATAAGTCACTATTGCCAGCTGAGAAAAATGAAATGAAATGAAATGGGGTTTAACGTCCTACTGTTCTGCTCCTATGCTGGGCTAATGAAGACGGGCATTCGGCATACATTGTGCTATGAGGGAAATTTTGCCCGGACAGCGGCACTATCGCCTACTCTTATATCGAATTCCAACTGCCAAGGGATCTTTTACGTTGGCAGTTGGAATTCGATATAAGAGTAGGCGATAGTGCCGCTGCCCGGGCAAAATTTCCCTCATAGCACACTGTATGGCGAATGCCAGCTGAGAAATTGGCAAAAATATCAACGTTTGAAGGTAGCTAATGCATGGAGGCAATAGGAAAATAAAGGAAGGTAATTGTGTTATTATTTCCTGTGTCAATGATTTTGAAGGGTGGGATATAATGCCCATGGTCGTATAATAGTGAGTTGATAACCTATTGAACAAAAGACATAGAAATAATTATGTTTTGAATTTCTTCGAAAATATGAAATTATCGCTTTAAGTAGTTTTACTCATGAACGGGTTCTTGTGATTAAGCCAATGTGATGAAAAGGCAGTGGGTGCAGTTATCAAGTTTCTTTTTTATACGGTCACATTTCAATGTGATGTTATGTCGTCTATCCTGTTCGTCAACAATTGACATGTTTATTAAGGCAATCGTCGACATTGCCCATCGGAAGCTCGCTGATAAATTTTGTGTTTAATTACTTTTAATTTTAAAACATTATGTGAAAAACAAGGGGTACTTGGATTATGTGTATGGGGACTGGTAAATTTGGGCCCGACCTTGAGTACTATATGTTTTAATGTAAAAGAAAGTTTACCTGTACATATAAAACTGTATTGGATACTACATGGATATAGGTAGGGACTCAGCGATTGGTTAATTGTACCAAGACTACTGTCAATCAATATATTATTACTTTCTGGTATCCAATGATCATCTGTGATAATAAACATAAACAGTAGAAATGATGTTCAATATATTCATTTTGCATTATCTATTTTTAAAGTATTATAGCAAGAACGGCCAGCTCTTCAGGTAAATCTTACATAATGCTTCTTTAAATTACAGGTACCTAAAGAGAGATGGAGGGGTAACTCAGGGTATATTAAGGTTTTAACATCTAATTACAGGTACGTGACGAGATATGGGAAGGTAACTCTGGTTACATCAAGGATATAACATTAAATTACAGGTACGTGTAGAGAGATGTAGGGGGTGGGAGCAGGTCAATTAAAAGATATAACATTACAACGACAATATAACATTAAATTACAGGTACGTGTAGAGAGATGTAGGGGGAGGGGGCAGGTCACATAAAAGATATAACATTACAACGAGAATATAATATTACATTACAGGTACGTGACGAGAGATGGTTGGGGGCGGGGGGGGGGATTCTGATTACATCAAGGATACAACATTAATGTATATATACGTGAAGAGAGATGTTAAGGTAACGCTGGTTACATCATTCATATAACATTAAATTACACGTACCAGAATAGTAATGGGGAGGTAACTCTGTTTAAATAAGGGGTATAACATTAAATATTAATGGTAACTAAGGTTAAATAAAGGGTATAACATTAGATTACAGATACGGGAATAGTAAGTGGCAGGGGGTTAACTCAGGGTATATCAAGGATATAACATTAATTAATAATCAGGAGATCTAACGACATTTTCAATTCGGGCGTATTCGAAATCGAAGTAACATACCATATTTGGAGATATTGGTTTTCATGGTAATTGTTATGTTGTCATTAGGAACCATGGTTAAAGTAGCTGTGACTACATCAGAGAACCAAACACATAAATTCGTTGCTACCAGATGCATTAATCCAAATCTTGCTACCAGCTTAAATCTTTGGTAACACAGCTTGAAACGAGAATCAGATGATTTTATATTAAAATATGTTTTTATTTCAACATAAAGCTATGTCATATATTACAAACTTTTGTTAATTCGTACTAGTTCCTGTTTTAGATCGACTCCATATCTAGGTCAATAATGGCAGGCATGATTACATGCTTAATCCACCAATCCCGATTAATCAATGGGGAGATGGGGAGGGGTGATTGTCGAGTGGTCTGACGCGTGAGCGTTAGAGCAAAAAGTCCGTCATTGAATCAAGTGGCATGGTTTCGCGCACAAGCTCGTGCGTAACTGCGGGGTATGCTCGCCTGTCTAATCTCGTGGGTTTTATCCCCGATTTTCTTTATATAAACCCCTACACGCAAGCGCATTACTACAATAAAATTATACCATATGTTAGTACTGAAATAACAGATTCTGTCGAGTGGATATTAAACTCTCTCTCTTTCGTGAGTTTTCTATGGTTCTCCTACTTTTAAAGCAATTGAATTCCAACGGTCAAGAGTTCTTTTACACGAGACTTCGGGTTTTGGTACCACCCGAATGACTAGGCACTGTTTCCCCGTCCTGCATCACTGACAAGGGGAAACCGCACCGGAGAATCAGAATCATTGAATCACCATGACTCCCAGAACTTACCTTAGAATACGAGAATATAAAATAAAGTTGTATAAAAGTATAGAATAAATGTAACAGGTGTGATAGACCAATCATAACATCTACACTTCCGGTCAGTGATAAAACCTCTAGAAACTGACCAACTTGTAGTCCAATCATTATCATACTACCAATACCAAAACCTGGTCAAATAAAAAAAACATATTGAACACGGTGCCCCCTTCGCTGTGGCGTTGGCATAAAAATATGAGTTTACAAAATCTTAGCTTTCCTCTTAATGGAGTAAATGTAAAGTAGAGGTGTACAAGACAGAGGCCTCGTGTACACACTGGCGTGCACGTAAATATCCCTTGGCAGTAGGAATTTGGTATAAGAGTAGACCGTAGCGCTGCTGTCCGGGCAAAATTTCCATCATGGCACACTTTATGGCGTATGCCAGTCTTCATAAACTCAGTCGGGACAGAACAGTAGGGCGTTTAACTCCATTTCTGTGTTAAAAAATTTGTCAACGTATTACAGGACGCTAACTTACCAATTGCCGCCAGTCGCAAGTAAAAGCTGCCGGTGTTGGATGTGGGCGATACGTCATAGGTTACGGCTGGATTGGTTAAATCTTCTTTATTACTTATTAAACTATCTGTACTGATAAATGCTTTAATTCGCTGGTGTAATGGCGAGTTACGAATCAGATAGAGTATCACAAACGCCAGGAATGCGATGCTGACGACATAAAGATACAGAGAGAAGAGCTGAAAAATATGATTTAATAAAATATAATTTAGAGATTAGCGAATGGGGCAAGATTTGGGTAAAAACTAAAGTGTGTGACTAGTAAAACGGCTCTCGTGTCTTATCTTAATGATAGCGATGGAGGGGTTGAATGGGGTTAGATCTATTTTATAAGGCCAACTTCAAGTTAGGACAAAGGTAACGAGATGTAAACAGGGCTAGCGCTAATCCCAACCCTAACACTAACCCTAGCCCTACAATCTCGCCAACAATCACATGCTCTAACCTTATTTACATCTCAGTGACCTTGACGAAATCTTAAATCAGCCTTAAGAAATAGATCTAGGCGGTGTATAGTGGAACGGGTCTATCGTTTTATCTTAATCGGTGATGGGGGTTTTCATTTGGTGATGGTGGGGGGGGGGGGGTCAATAAAGAAAAAATGATTTGGTGTGTATGGCCAATCTGTTTCACAGAGTATTAGAAAGTCTTCTAATATCTCTGTAAAAGATGACTGCCTTCAACACATGACGTCATATCACGCGGCGTCAATCATTGGCTCAATGGCGCGTGCATTGTTTACATAAGACGTTAATGATTCGAGCAGAATGGCGTCTTTTACTCATTTTAATACCCCCTTACACTAAAATAGGAAATAATTTTTACCCACTAATACTTCAAACGTCTTTTTTTATTTTTCTAATACATAAAAAAAATGTTTTAGAATTTAATTTGTCGGAGGAAAAAAGTTAATATTTGTGGCTCATTAAGTCGCATCGATGTCATTCTTATCAGTGATTGTCGCGGGCTAGTGAATATTAACTGCTGATCAGTGTGGTGTATGGCGTGTAGGTGTTTTAGAGAGCAAGGTGTGTGGTATAGGGGTGGTGCGAAGGAGGAGATATGTCTGAGTCGGCAATTACTTCTTGTCAACAGGTTAGAAACTATTTTTGTCAGAGCTATATGGGCGAAGAGTAACTGGTGCTGTGTTCAGATTATTAGCTTGATGGCGTGTCTGTTGGAAGGTCTACTTAATTGTCCGGGAGCACCTAAAAAGTGTCAATTGGACATTTATAGTTTTACGGTTTCCCCTAGGTCCAGGGTTAATAGAGCAAGATATGTCATTGAACATTACATATCGTATACAACATTCAACACCGAAGAGTACCGTATGTTAAACTTGTTTTAGACTTACCACATGAGGTAAGCTGTTTATATCCGGTGTATAAGTTCTGGATACAGATATAACCAAGCCTAGTATTACCAGTATCATAGCATACAATCCACTAAATAATATACATAAATAATCACTGGAAAAAAGGAATAAAATAAATCGAGATTAACCAGGGTTATAATACAAAAGTCAACAAACATTATCAGATATGAGAATTCCTTTGGGGATCTTTCGGCGAAATCAATCGGTGTCGAAATTCGACTAGTGTGTTCACTGTCATTCGGCTGAATGATTCGCCCAAATCAAACCTATTTGATATAACGGCCGAATTATATTCGCCTAGTGTGTCCGTTTCGCTGAAGCATTCGCCCGATTGTAGAATTCATTAGACAATCACCACTCAACATCCATTTATTTCGACAAGTCACATGCTTTGTTTGAAGACATGGTTGCCGCTATGTTTAATCATGTGACGTGAAAGATGATGCCGTCGGCGCCGATTGATTAATACTACTGCTACTGGGACTTCGGTGTAAAATAATGTTTATGTAATATTTTCAATTTAACCCACCAGATTTGATTATCGATTATAGAATGCCAAAACAAACTGAATCTTTCACTTTTGGACAGTTTAATGGCGGCTGGTTGGTTGTCGGGGAGATCGGTGGAACAATCATTTTCTGAAATAAATGGATTATAAATACTTTACAGATAGTACAGACGTTTTAGCTAAAATGAAATTTAATGTCCTTCTACAGTGTGCTATTAGAAAAATTGTACCCGAGCAGCGGCGCTACGACCTACTCTTATATCGAATCCCAACTGCTAAGAGTTCTTTTACGTTCGCACCAGTGTGTACACGAGACCTAGGTTGCCAGCCCATGCTTTCTACACCACTGACAAGGGGTGATACAAATGTACATTTATTGTTCATGAAAGTTTTCAAACTGATAGACTTTTATTACTTTCCACATCATAACTTTAGATTTACGGGTGGTCCACATTTTTTAATAGAAATGAGAAATGAAATGGGGCTTGTCGTCCTACTGGACCAGGCATACGCCATGCAGTGTGCTATGAGAAAAATTTTGCCCGGAAAGCCGAGGTACGTCCTACTATTATCCCAATTCCACTTGTCAAGAGTTGCACGTGCACGCCAATCACCAGGGTAACCACGCCGGAAAATCCCGAGGAACTTTCTCTGACAACACCGGGATAGAAGCTGGGATCTCTAGGTTAGCGAACCAGTGCCTTACTTATTGAGACACCGCGACTCCCTGGGTGAAAATACAGTGGAAACAAAATACCTTGGATTTTCGATAGTTAGGTGAGATTAAAGTCTCTGGCCGCCATTTGAATTTCATAGAAAGTTGTTTGAGTTCATAAATATTTTTAATCAAATCTCCATTGATTAACGCCCGCTCCTACCTAGCGTGATTTCGCAGACAATCAATCTCCCTAAATGTGTTGTGTCTTTTAAACTATGTTTACATACCGCCTTAAGCAGACATTTAATTGTTTTTCATAAAATAAATAACAGCACGCAGTTAAACAATACAATTATGATTTTTGTTTACTTTTTTATTTTGTTTATTGACTTTAAAATCTCGTCAAATTAGAAATGTTTACCGACCATGTTTAAAGCAAGAGTAGAGGTAATTATTGGCTTCGACTTAACCAGTATGAACTACGAGGTTGTCAGGTTATTTTCTCGTTGAAGAAATGTCACTTAATTTTATCCCTGAACTTTCTTGCTAAAGACGTTTACCACTCAAGTGTGAAAAGAAGTATCTTTGTGTCTGACCATCTGATCAAAGAAAGTTTATTTTGTCTAAATCTATGACGTATAGGCGCTAATATTACACAAGGCCACGACCCAGCAGCTACTTCGTTATACAAAATTTCATTTTTTTTAAAACATGCATTATACAAGAGCTAATTCTGATCTGAAATGTTATCTAAATTATTAGTCCCTAATTAGACATTAATTAACGTATCCAGACCATAATCAACTCTCAATGCCATCGTTAACCTCCGATATTTACTGGATTTGAATACATTTTGTTTGAGTTGGATAATTTAACGTAAAAATGGACAATCGAGACTTGGTTTATTATTGCACCAAAATTAGTAATGACGTTCTAGGCTAGCCTAAAATTGAATCGCTAATATCTCTGTTCAGAGTGAAGCAATTTGACTGAAGTTTTCAGCATATTATTATTCTGTTTATTAACTATTATACCGAGAACTGCCAGCTCTTCATCCAATCTTACCTAATGCTCCATTTAATAAAGCCTTGAAACCGATGATTTTATAACTTTTGCAAATTTCAATATTTTAAAGTCAAAACTCTTAAAGGAATATTTTTCCAAAAGAGTATTGAAAATTTTTGCAAAATTCAGCATCTTGCAAATTTCAATATATTAAATTTGGAATATTTTTCCAAAAGAGTATTGAAAGATTTCACAACATTCAGCATCTTTATATAAACAAGCCAGCCCACATAGGTGTTGGGTAAAATATTTTGATAGGGCTCTTTTTAATCTTAAAAATGGAAATTATGTATCGTTGATAGTTTTGTTTTATGTGAAATAATGAATTTGAGTACATTTTAGAATGGATTTAGCCGTCAATAATTAGATATCAATATTTATCATAAATATGTATTTTTCGAATTCAGCCTCGGGGGGGGGGGGGGGGCAACTAATGACAACCGGGAACCTTATGTGAAAATTCGTATGGTTCTTATCGACATGCGTCGAAATTCGTACCCGGGACAGCCCAAGAAGTGATTGTTCGGGTGTAAAGATATCCGTTATAAATCAAGCTTGGGCATTGGCGATACCACTATTTACCAACTGACTGAATGGGAGAGGGCGGTCTGGTGGGGTGTACCCGAAAGGTACATATATGATTTCTGACCAAAAACCACGACCCTATAAAATTAAGTAATAAAGAAAAAAAAAACCTACCTGGATCTATAATAGCTGTCGTTAACGGGGGAGTATAAAAATGATTGACATCGTCAGCCGTATAATTATACGTCTCCGTTAACCCCGACAGGACACAATCCGCTGTGGTCTCCGTCGCATACATCAGTTTCTCTGGATAGTTCTCTTCAGTCAGGCTTCCCCCACTCATATAAAACTGAACTCTCAGAGGTCGTCCATTTTCATTCCCTACCTCCGAAACACCTGTGACCTCAGAATTGACCCCTTCTTCGTTCGTCATCTCCGATTACCTACGGGGAAAGCCAGTTTTTGTTCGTGATAATTACATCGATCTCACTTTCTAATTTGATAGTTTTAGTGAAATATGAAGAGATTAACGATCATTGGACATTTCCGGGGGATTTAACGTTTAATGCGAAGGAAATATGGGAGATTGCATTTCTGAAAACATTAAATTATCCCTTTAAATTGGGACTATTGAAATATGGATTAAACTAATTATCAAATTCGTTATCAAGCTTGTGATAATAAATACCGTTAATTTAATTTAATTAAATAGAAATACTAATATGTCCACTAAGATTAATATAAAGGTAGGGCGATATTATCAAATAAACTATCAAATTTAGATTTCGTTTTAAACACATATTTGAGTAATTAGAAATATTAATATGACCACTGACATTGATATACAGGGAGAGAAATAAAATAAAATGAACTGGGGTTTATTGTCCTAATTGTCTGCATCGACTCAGATAATGAAGACGGGCATACGCCGTACATTGGGCTATATCAGGGAAATTTTGCCATGACAGCGATGCTACGGCTGACTGTCGGGGTTATTTTACGTGCACGCGAACATGTACACAGGTCCTTGGGTTTTCGTACCATCCAAACGACTAGATACCGTCTCTTGCCAGGCCATCCGTCCTGCATCCCCGACAAAGCGAAACTACGCCCGAAAATTCCGAGGAACTTTCTCGGCGAACACCGGGAGCCAACCCGACTGGTCTGCTTCCGGATAAACTAATAAATTTATATTTCGTTTTAGACTTATCTGAGCAAAATCAGTATATTAATATGATCATTAAGATTAATATATACAGCGATTGTTTAAACAAAATATCTATTATCAAATTTACATATGGTTTTAGACCTAATAGTTTATAAATTGATCAAATAAAATCTTACCTTTTCTTTCACTGGTGTTAACTCAAAACAGGTTCGTTATGCTTGAGAAAAAGAAAAAAAGTGACTTTAACAAAATCTTGACAATTGTTTAAAATAGCTGTATTTACTTTCTGTCTTAGCGTTATACTCATACCTTTTATAAACAACCCATCTCTCATTATGTCACGAAATAATGTATCTAGAACTCTGTATTGACGTTATACATATTTCATATTGTGGCTATACTAAAACAAGGTTATTTTTTATGTTACATTTTTGGATTTTCATTTAAATGTATACATGGGCACTGTCATTTTGAGCATAAGAAGGCTTGGGGGGTTTAACGTCCTGCTGTTCTGCTTCGACCGGGCTAGTGAAGATGGGGAATACGCCGCCGCAGTGTGCTATGAGGGAAACTTTACCCGGACAGCGGCACTACAGCCTACTCTTATATTGAATTTTACTTTCACGGAACGTCGGTGTTTCGTCCCACCTAACGACTAAACGTAGTCCCTTGCCAAATCTTTCGTCCCGGGAGAGAGAGAGAGACAGAGAGAGAGAGAGAGAGAGAGAGAGAGAGAGAGTAGGTTATTTCGGGACTAACACACGGTTCAATTGTATTTCAATAATTCGCTTGCGTTGCGGTCTTTAGCAGTGGGGGGAAACCAGAGTACCCGCAGAAAAAGAAAACCCATGAGGTTGGACAGGCTACCCTACTTGTCACGTACAACCGGGCAATCGAAACCACGTCAGTTGACTCAATGAAAGAACTTATGATACAACGCGCACGCGCTAACCATTCAACATGGCGAGACAAATAATGGTTGCTGCGATAACGGTCAACGGAAATGAAAATGGGGTTTAACGTCCTACTGTTCTGCACCGACTGGGCTAATGAAGACGGACATATGCCATGCGGTGTGCTGTGAGGGAACTCTTATATGGAATTCCCACTGTCAAGGGTAATTTTTCGTGCACGCCAATGTGTACACTGGTCCTCGGGTTTTCCTCCCATCCAAGCGACTAAACATTTTCGCTTGCCATGCCAGCTGTCCTGCACCACTGACAAGGGGGAACCACCAGTGGCGGGCCCAGCCGTCGGTGATTGGAGGGGCAAAGCTGGGGCAAAGTCCAAGGTTAAGGGGGCAAAGGCACGAGCTTCAACTAGGGGTAGGGGGCCACCCCCAGAAAATTTTGAAAAACAGGGCCCTGTTTCACGAAATTTTAACTATAGATAAAATCCAAGTTTTAGTGGATACTTCAATTTTGATTGGCTAAGCACTAAAATCAATCTAATATTATCCAATCAAATTACTAAAATTTGGATTTTATCGTAGTTAAAATTTCTTGAGACAGGCCCCAGATTGCCGGAAATGCAGCCTTGCAGTATTTCAGGCACTGATCGATGAGGTAAAGTGTCAAACGAACGGACTTGCGAATCACAACGAAGCCCACTCACGAGCGTCAAAGTAGGGAGTCCTCCCCCAGAAAATTTTGAATAATAGACTGCCGGAAATGCTGTCTTACAGTATTCTGTCAGGCACCGTTCGTCGAGATAAATAGATCTGACCAGATACCGTCCGTCGCCTGATCACTACTTTATCCGACTAGAGAACAAAATGTCAAACGAACGGACTTGCGAACCTCAACGAATTCCCCTTGTGAGCGCCAAAGTAGCGAGTCCATTGGGGACCTCGCCAAGAAAATTTTGAAAAATAGACTGTCGGAAATGCTCTACAACATGCAAGTTTATGACTCAGTGGGGATGTGGGATTTATTCACCGTAGAGGGTATTGATTACCGAAACGTATCACAAATACTTTTTTTTATTTTCTAAAATTATTGGGGGGGGGGGCAAACAGAGGGCAGACCAGATTAATGGGGGGGGGGGCAAATGCCCCCCCCCCCCTTGGCGCCGCCACTGGGAACCACGCCGGAAAATCTCGATGAACTTTCTCGGTGAACACAGGGATCGAACACAAGACCTCCAGGTCAGCGAAGCACACAAGCTCCGAGTTCTTCCAATCCACGCTTCACTTCACCACTGCTACTCTAGTCCATGTGAAATTATATTTTATCTTACCTGTATCTTGTGGTCTACAAGATTCAACAGTTAGTGTTGGTTCGTATAGGATTTTACACAATGAAATCGTGTACTTGCAGAAGCTTCTAGCTTTCTATAGTTTTAGCCTCAACATCATCATTTAGCTTTGTGTTCACAAAACAAAAAATTTTTATGTTGAATTTTTTAAATTGATGTTTAAAAATACCTGTGTTTGTTTGCTACATCTTTCCGGTATAATGCAAAACTTCGACATTTTAAAACTTCTGAATATTTAATGGTGTTATCTCCCCTTCACTGGCTATCACTGATTCCGACAATAATTGTTCAAAATGTTCATTCGACTATCTGAATTCTCAAGCTGATAGTTATACCACGGGGTTTTGCATAAAAATGCTTTGTTACACTCTTTATATTATATGTTTTATTAGTGATCTCTAATATATACATTTCAACCTGACAAAGATTGCTCATAACTCATAAGAGTAATTAACATCATTGTAGTCGAACGGCAGGGCACTGGGGTTTTCAAGATGGCCGGGTTCCCATTTTTCGGGATCAGTGTTAAATGATAAGGCCAGCTCAATTTTTCGTCATAGGTCACGAGATGTAAACAGGGCTAGCGCTAATCCCAACCCTAACCATAACTTCAAACCTGGATCTAGCCCCAAAGCTTACCCTAACCCTAACCGCCAATTCATGTACAGTCGACATAAATCTTGGACAATTGCGCATCGACCGTTTGATTTTTTTTATATTTTTGACGTCATAGTCAGTGTCTGGCCCATAGTACGGTGGTATTTATTAAAGTTACCCCGGACAAAAACTCACACATATCTATAGATTTTATATCAAAATGATTTTATTTCAGTAATATTCATAGTGCAAAATATTAGTATTAATTTAACAGTGTAAAACATAATTACCTCTGTTGGTGCATGAGTCTTAAAAAATATGAAGTTCTTCAGATCTTTTTTTTTTTTTACCTTTATTAGTTTTGAAATTTGCCATAATACATGATCTCTTTTATTATGGTTTTGTCTTTCAGCAAAGGTCTTATTTATATACATTTTAAAAATGATTTTGAAATCATTGCAACTCTCAACCGGGGATAATATTGGTTTTAATTTTATCTGACTAGATTTTACATACAAAAACAAGCTAAGGACGTTATTTCAAAGAAAACCGTTAAAATTGGGTTTAGTAGTAGCAGTAGTAGTAGTAGTGCAGGCGCGGTGGCGAAAATTTTTTTGCCACATATATTCTCGCTGGAAAGGAGAACAAAAATACTTAAAAATGGCAAAGTTCCCCGTCGTAATTTACTCCGAAACGATCCGGTTGGTGACTTGGTTGAGTGCCCGTCAGTCCGCCCACCGAGGGCTGGGCTTCGCACAACCAAGTGGGGGCAGCACCCGTCCCCCCCCCTCACCTTCTGAAAACCCTCTAGTAGTAGTAGTAGTAGTAGTGGTAGTGGTAGTAGTATGAACCTTTTGCTGTTGTTAAAAGCGTAGTGTACACTGTTCCTTTATTTTATAAACTATAATATATACATTATATACATTATTCTAATATCAACTTATAAACAACAAAATCTAGCACTATTATAAATACTAAAAATATATCATTATACAAAAAATATACTAATACATGGCCATTTTATTTTACATGTAGCTGCACATGAAATCTCATTAAATAAAATTTAACAATATGCCATTTTGTATATTAATAAGGGTACATAAATTGTGTTCTACACTTTTGCTGAAGATTGTTACACTTGTCTATTTTATGAATTTGTCATCAAGGAGTTGGTAACTCTCATATTTTCCATTCCTATATAAACACAATAGCTACATATTAACTTGTTATTCTCCATTACTATTTGTTATTGTCTATTAATAATTGTTATTGTCCATTAGTAATTGTTATCATAAACAATGGTTTATTATTACCATGCGACATTTCTCCTGTGATTCTAATCCAAATGCCCCTCAATAATAATCAGTAATTGTATACCACAGAATTATGTCATGTATATTTAAAAATGCTGTATGAAAGAGCTAAATCTACGTAATGCAGATCTTTCGTTTGGTCTACATTGTTATATAAATAATTAGACATTTATTCACATGCCAAGCCCATAATCAACTCTCTAGGTCTTCGGATGGTATTGATTTTTAACGAATTTATACACGATTGCCAGTTAATAATTTAATTTAAATTTGGATAGTCGATTCTTTCTTTATTGTTGTAACAAGTAGGACGTTAAACCCCATTTCAATTCATTTCTATTGTTGTAACAACGGTAGCAATGGCAATCGAGATTACACTGTTCTTCAAACGGCAATAACTCCTTTCAGAATGAAGTAATTTGACTAAAATGTTTATCATATTCCCTTTTCATTATCTTTTATTAACTATTATAGCGAGAACACTCAGCTCTTTATCTCAGCCTTACATAATCCATCTTTAAGGCTCAATAACTAAATGCCATTGAAATGAGTAAATGTTACTGAAACAACTAAATGCCACTGGAACAGCTTAATCCTTAACAAAGCGTGCAATGATGCACTTGGTGCCAATGAATAACATAAATTATCCACAAAGAAATCTTGTAACAAATTGATTCATATACTTTTATTCTAGCATTGTGGCTACTAAAATAAAAAAAATAAAGTTGATACAGAAATCCATAATAATATGGATCTAGGAGTTAAGTGTAACAGTAGTCCCTAGCGCGATTGTGGTGCTTTTAATGAAACATGGCTGGCGACGATGATCGTGAAGGTTTGGTTACAACATTACGAGGCTGATTATTATAGTTATGGTGTCAAGTTTAACAGCAGTCCACAGAACGATCGTTGTGCTTTTAAATGAAACATGGCTGGCGACGATGATCGTGAAGGTTTGGTAACTACATTACGAGGCTGATTATTATAGTTATGGTGTCAAGTTTAACAGCAGTCCACAGAACGATCGTTGTGCTTTTAAATGAAACATGGCTGGCGACGATGATCGTGAAGGTTTGGTAACTACATTACGAGGCTGGTTATTATAGTTATGGTGCCAAGTTTAACAGCAGTCCACAAAACGACCTTTGTGTTTTAAATGAAACACGGCTGGCGACGATACTGGTGAAGGTTTGGTAACAAGGTTGGTTATTAAAGTTATGGTGTCAAGTTTAACAGCAGTGAAGTGGTTCATTGTTTTTATAATCTGGCCACTCGACGCTTCCAGGCATGTTTCCAGATATTTGATAAACAAACAGTCGAATGAAATCGGTAGAAGATAGATAATGGACTAGAAATGTGTGTAAAAATACTCCAGGCTAACAAACCGTAAAAATCCATTTGTATCGGGTTGGCTTCAGTCTGCTGTACCTCGAACGTGTTCATGCCCCACAGAGCAATGTTCGCCACAAGTAGAAAGGTCACCAATTCACGACCCGGTTTTTCTTGTTCGTGTTCTTTCGACCCGGCAAAACGTCTGATAGTGTTCATAATGAATACAGTCTGAAGAGTAGCTTGAAACATTCGCAACACACCGGATATCATGATCAACAGGCTCTGAATCATTGATTGCGAGAAAGACGCGGCGATAATACTGAGTAAGGAGAAGAGGTAGATGCCGAAGAGACCAATGATCAGAAGGATCTGTTCCAAGTCCATTGATTGGTGTTTGCGATAACCGAGTGGCTGCACTTTATAAAAAGCTAGGATCACCGCCACCGCCGTCATGACATAACAGATAATTTCTGAGAGGTGTTCCACCATGATAGCGTCACCACTACGTGATTTGATTTTTATCATGACGAAGAACGCGATGATCGTGATGACCACTGCAACAACTAAGATTATTCCTAGGAATAGTCCACGACTTGAACTCGAACAGTCCACGTTCAATCTGTTGGCCTTGGCTTTGGCTGACCACTGTTTACCATCATGATTTCTGGATATACCAATTCTACCGATATTTGACCACATGACATAAACAATACCTGAAAATATTTTTATAAAATCTTGTTAAAATATATACAGTTAAAGATACATTATGTAAGAGCTAAATCTGCCTATTGTAGGTCATTCTTTAGGCCTTAGATGTTATAAAATTATAAATTAAGACATTTATTAACTTGACAAGACCATAATCAACTCTCGATGCAATCGGATGCGCGAGATTTCAACTAGATTAGAATTGTTTGACCATTGAATGATTTAATTTAATAATGGAGAAGCGGGGCTAAGAATCGAATATACCAGTACCGTGGGTAGATAATAAACAATCAATGCATACATCTTGTCAAAACTGCAAACATTGATAACTTGTTAAAGAACCTTATATGGATACTACTTCTCAATTTATTAACATGCTAGGTTTCGATACACATACAGGTATCGTTATCAAGCAAATAATGACATCTGTATGTGTATCGAAACGTAGCATGTTAACAAACTGAGAAGTAGTATATCCATATAAGGGAGGGGACCACGTGGCTAAGTGGGTAAGGCGCTGGCTCGCTAGCCTGGAGGTCGGGTGTCCGATCCCTGCATTGGCCGAGAAAGTTCATCCAGATTTTCCGGCGTGGTTCTCCCTTGTCAGTGATGCAGGACGGAGGGGCTGACAAGGAAAGCTGTCTAGTCGTTCGGATGGGACGAAAAACCGAGGTCCCGTGTACACATTGGCGTGCACGTAAAAGATCCCTTGGCAGTTGGAATTCGATATAAGAGTAGGCCGTAGTGCCGCTGTCCGGGCAAAATTTCCCTCATAGCACACTGTATGGCGTATGCCCGTCTTCATTAGCCCAGGTTAGGAGCAGAACAGTAGGACGTTAAACTCCGTTTCATTTCATTTCATTTCATTTCATATAAGGGTTTTTAATTTGTGAAATCTACTTCTATATGTCTTACAAGGATTAAATGATAACTTGGCTCAGAATAAAGTAATTTGAATGAAATTTTCAATATATTCATTTGGCATTATCCATTTTTGAACTATTATAACACGAACGACCAACTCGTTATCTAAATTTTAGATGATGCATCTTTAATTACTAATTATTTATCGCACAAGAATCTTTTAGCAGTAGCCAGAATTATGTGTTATTGGAGAAAACCTGCGGATTTAGTCCGGCGACCCTACTCCGTGTCACGTACAAGTCTGACTCAATGGCAGACCTTATGATCTAACGCTTACGCGTGGACCTCGGCCTTTCGTTGCAACGTATCGACTAGGTACCACGCCGAGATCCGAACCCTGGACATTGTAGTCCAGAGTTTAGGGCCGCGTGCCCGCTCGGCTACCTGAGCCCACGGGAAACAATATGACAGAAAGAAGTTGACTTACTTGCACAGATAAGACTGTATTCTATACTACATGGATAAAGATAGGGTCCTGATGATTCTACTACACTATTCATTATACTCTCATCATTACAATCTAACATATCATCTAAATGATGGGCTGAAATAATAACATACCAAATGTTAAACATCTTATCTTTCTTGATCAATACGGGCTATACAGATTGGCATACGACATGCAGTGTACTTTGAGGCAGTGGGTTGTTTGTTACCGGGCAGTAGCACTATGGTCTGCTATTACACACAGGCCTTTATTTTTGGTACTATAGGAACGACTAATGTCCCGCCAGTTCTTCCATCCCTCCACGAATGACAAAACAAAATCCCCAATCTCACTGACACACTGTGGCTCCCAAAATGCCGAACAAGTTCATGCTCACGGCTTCACTTCTGAGAAACAAAACTGTTTGCCATATTTATAACAGACCATTCACAATTCGATCTTACTTCCGTTGTATGGGTAATTGTTCGCTAACATAGTTAGTATTCAAATATGGTCATGCTTTGCCATAGCTAGTATTCAAATATGGCCGAAGTTTACGTATTGCATTTTACATAAGCGACATACAGGCGCTTTATGCGAGTTAATTGATTTATTTAGCCTATTGCGCATTGAAATGAATACGTTGTATTTTTAATGGGCAGTTTTAATGGATCAAGGGTTGGGGTGGGGTATATATGACCGAATGGTTAGTACGTGCGCGCTGTATCATAAGGTTTTTCATTGAGCCAAGTGGCGGAGTTTCGATTCCCCGGTTGTACCCGACAAGGAGTAGGATCGCCTGTCCAACCTCGTGGCTTTTCACTGGATCCTCCTATTTCCCCCCATTGCTAACGACACCTACGCGCAAGCGAATTATTAAAATAAAATTGAACCATGTTTTAGTCCCAAAATGACCTAGTTTGTGTCGAATGGGCGTTAAACCTCATTTCTCTCCCTGTTTAATGGATCAACGTACTATCAATAACTTGACTTAGATATTATACACATTACTTACCAAACGTGTGGTTGGACTGTGCAGACGATTCTTTAAATTTGATGAGAGTTTCGTGTACGATGTTTTCTGCCCACACACAGATATTAACAGCTACCATGTGCATCAATCCAAATCTTGTTATCAACTTAAACCGCTGTACACAGATCTAATCAATAATAAAACACACCATTTAAACAATCAGATATTTGAGAATCGGATAAATGAAATGAAATGGGGTTTAACGTCCTACTGTTTTGCTCCGAACTTGGCTAATGAAGACGGGCATACGCTATACAGTGTGCTCTGAGGGAAATTTTTCCCGGACAGCGGCATTACGGCCTACTCTTATATCGAATTCCGACTGTCAAGGGATCTTTTACGTGCACGCCAATGTGTACACGGGACCTCGGTTTTTCGTCCCATTCGAACGACTAGACAGCTGTCCTTGTCAGGCCCTCCGTGCTGCATCACTGACAAGGAGGAACTGCGCTGGAAAATCTGGGTGAACTTTCCCGACCAATGACGGGATCAAGCATCCGACCTCCAGACTAGCGAGCCAGCGTCTTACCCACTTAGCCACGATTTAGGTCCTACATTTGTACGTAACAAGGAGTAGTGTCTCGTGATGGGATTTATCTGAGAATAAGTCTGAGTATGTCTTAAAAAAGAACGACCAATGAGAATAGAGCTTTGAAATTGTGAATTGCTTTATGAATATATGTTTCCAGAAGACATCGAGGGGTGCTCGACAGAACAGGACATTTCACTGGATATTGCAAACATACCTTAGAGTTTAAGAAGACAAAGTAAAGTTGTGAGAAGGTGAAGAACAAATGTAAGAGATGTCTCAAGCCATAGGTTACATGTAAACAACCAGATAGAGGACCAGTTTCAAAAAATATACCAAACTGTAAGCCACTTTTTATCATACTACCAATACCAAATGCTGTAATTATATCAATTATTACATAGCTATAAAAGGTTATTATTGAAGCCCATCAGGAACACTATAAATACCAAATGCTGTAATAATATTAAATATAGTATATCTATAAAGGTAATTATGGAGGCCTGTCAGGGACATTATTATACTACCAATACCAAACGCTGTAAATATAAGCTTATAAGTTATATTTCAATTCTCTGTTTTTGAACTAAAATAGGAAATACCGCCAGCTCTTTCTTTAAAACCTCGCAGAATGTTTCTTGAAATTGATTTTTGTAGGCTAATGTCCAACGCACTAAAACAGATACTGTCATATTCAAATTATTGTCATTCGAAGAAAAGCCCATATTTAACCACCCGTATCTAATAATACTTTTAAAACATTATCTTACCTACAGCGCCTAATCTAAGGTAGAAACTACCCGTATGTGCATTTGGCGAATCGTCATAAGTAAATTTATGGTGATTGGTTGGTTTCTGCAAAGGTGTAAGAATCTTGTCCTTCTGATTGGATGATTTTTTACAACAAGAACAACAACCAGTTGTCTTGAGTACAAAAATATAGAGGAAGATCAGAAACAACACACCGACGCCATATAAATAAATGTAAAAACCCTGAAAAACACAAGAACATGGAATATAGTTACATTAGCCGAACGGACCTGCGTGGCCGAATGGTCTAACGCGAAGGCTTTAGATCAATAAGGTTTGTCATTGAGTAAAGTGACGTAGTTTCGATGCCACACTTGTACGAAACAAGGAGTAGGGTTGCCTGCCCAACCACGTTGGTTTTCTCCCCTCATTTCCCCCACTGCTAGAAACCCCTACCATTGAAATACAATTGTAACAGCGGTTTGACCCAGTTTGTATTGAGTATAAGAAAGCATTCCTCTTCATTGGCCTGGTTAACGAATAACGACGTGTCTTGCATCACTCAAACTAAACGGAATTTAAAGTCCCGCAGGTTCTTCTGGTCGTACGCCCGTATTCGAAACCGGGTCATTTTAGTCGCTCGGCTACCACGTTCCGCACCTCTCAGATTCATAGAACGCATATGGTAACAGTCAAACATTTCTTTAGCGGTACTTACCTGAAATAAATACGGTCTTTGTAAAGGTGTAAAATTCTCAGCTAAAGGTAAAACTGTTCCTAATACAACTACCAACATGGCGTATAAAGCACTTAAATTTACAAATAAACTGTCCCTGAAAATATAAAATTATACATAAATAAGTTGAAATTGCAAACTTGATTATAAATAAACTGTCCCTGGCAATATATAAAAAAAATATGTATATAATATGTACATATTTTACTGGAAAAGCTGTTACTGGAAAAGCTCTTATCAGTAATTAACTTTCGGAAACACGATTAGGAGTTTGGTATCGGAGTTCATATGACATAAGCTGATCATTAACATTTTTCCAGCTGTGTCGTTACCCTCGATTTATCCCCAGAAACGAGGGTATGGAACTTAAAACAAGGACAAATATACGCTCCTAAAGAATTCCGATTTAAAAGTTGCATTATGTAAGACCTATATCTGTCTATTGTAGATTATTTTCTGGCTTCAAATGGTATATAAATTATTATTTAAACATTTATTCACATGTGAAGCCCAAAACCAACTCCCTGGGCCATCGGATGTCTGAGATATTAAGTAGATTACACCATGTCTGTCACATCTTCGTTAAAGGGGCTAAATCGCTAATATTTGGGACCTAAAAATTGACACAAGTGGGTCGCAACAAATATAATACCGTAATATGAATGTATATAAATTGATTTACATTCAGTCGTTTCCGTTTTTACTCTAATTTCAAATCAGTTATGTTCCGTGAAATAAGCCAGCAGTCTCAATCGAGTGCAAATTCCTAGCGTGTGGTTATTCCAGTCTACATAAGCCGTTTAGTTTGGTGCAATATGTCTAGCCTCGTTCCTCTAGTCTCTTGCTAGAACTGGGGCTGAAACGCATTATGGTACACGATTCGTGTACCAATGGTAAAATATTTATTTTGTCTTAAATATTGGATATCAGAAGCCCACCCTTTTCCGGTAAGATCACAACATCAATGTTGTTTTAAATTGACAAATAATTCGTGTTTTAAATGTTGAAGATTTTGGATGATATTGAGTTAGAGACTTAGCTCCTTTAAACGTTAAAATGACAAAATAATATAGACTTCCTATAATATCGTAGCATTGGTACTTAACATTAAGGCTATATCTCGTCAAAACTTCAAACATTCATAACTTCGCTCAAAATAAAGTAATTCGAATGCAATTTTCAATACATTGTATATTCATTAACTATTTTTAAACTATTATAGCATATGAACGGCCAGCTCTATCTCTAAATCTTAATTAAGTGCATCTTTTTTTGACTATTTTCAACATTATTTGCCATATTCATAAATTTATACTCACACGACTGGTTGATTGTAGATAAGATTGTAGGAAATCCTACTGACGTCAGAACGTCTTTTATTGGATAGAGAAGGTGGCGGAGAATCAGATAGAAATACGTCATCGTTGTTAGGAGAATTGTCTTCATTTCCAATACCTAAAATACAAAGAATCATATATATAAATAATATATTTGCTACCCATCAGGAATATATAACAGCCAAGAGCAATCTCAGCAGCAGCGCCCATTTCGTTTCCCGGGATAATACCCATATAAGTAAAATACACAGAACTTCTCAAAATCATTCACAAATCAAAAGCAACCAGAATATCATTGTTTCGCTCATTCCCAAATGAATATAATATTCGCCCACTGGTCCCCAAGCGCTACTCATCTGGCTGATGTATTCCTTCTTCTGAGTGGGGAGGCTCTTCCAAAAAAAGCCTAAGGCTCCACTAGTTCCTTGGATAATTATGCATCACAATTCCGAGATGGCTACGATGACGTCATACTCGGTTCCTGGTCCATATAGTATAATTATTACAGTCTTGTACTTGTCGTGTCGTTATCCTGGCTTTGTTTTGTCTATAATTCAATTCGCGGTTGTTTTTGTTTTTGGTGGTTTTTTTTTCTTTCAAAATCTGAAAAGTTACCCTCATCTGTAATACGATCCACCATGATGAATATATGAATTACACTATCTCTAGGAATTACGCCATACTATATGCTACACGAGCTCATATATCATCTCGTCTTATTTATTTTCAAAAGAAGTTTTTAATATTAAACAGATGGTAGATATAAAACATTAACTTGGTGTTTTTAACTTAGAAAAAATAATCTCAGGTTCAGACATATCATTAACCATCTATTATTAGCTGTCATATCTATACGTCACGTGTTGTGTTTATTCCATTAGAACTTTCATATCTATATGGCGGATGATCCAGTCCACCCATCTCCAAATAAGGCGATGGTGTAGCTTAGAGAGATAAGCAATATATATTGTACGATAAAGATCCATCATCAAAATGCAGGGCAAAAGGTGTTCAGTTGATTATACATGGTAGGTAAGCAACGATATTTTCCGTAGCTTTGTTGCAAAAACCGGGTATGCAAATTTAAAGGAACTAAATCGCTAATATTTGGGGCATAGAGATTGACACAAATGGGTCGCAACGCATATAATAATGTAATCTTACTGTATATAAAATGATTTACATATAATAATGTAATCTAACTGTATATAAAATGATTTACATATAATAATGTAATTTAACTGTATATAAAATGATTTACATTCAATTGTTTCCGTTTTGACTCTAACTTCAAATCAGTTATGTCCAGCGAAATACGGCATGAGTCTCACCCGAATGTCAATTTCTATAGCGTCTGGCTATTCCAGTCTATTGTGCATGCTCCCATGGCGTCACCGTTTGACATAAGTTGTGGAATATGTCTAGCCTCGTTTTTTCTGGTCACTTGTTACAAATGACTCTGAAACGCACTATGGTACACGATTCGTGTACCAATGGTAAAATGTTTATTTTGTCTTAAATATTGGATATCAGAAGCCTACCTTTTCCCAGTAAGATCACAACATCAATGTTGATTTAAATTGACAAATAATTCGTGTTTTTGACGTGTAAGACTTTGGGTGATATTGAGTTAGAGACTTAGCTACTTTAAGTCCGGGCATAAAATTTGGTCGAATTAGAAATGTTGAAAATAGCATGCGGTTATTTTACATATGGCACCAGAGAGAGAGAGAGAGAGAGAGAGAGAGAGGGGGAGAGCTGGGGTTCAACGTCCACTCAACACAAACTATGTCATTTCGGGATTAACACATGGATCCGAAAATAAAATTTAACATCTTTTTATAAAGGAGGGCCGACTGAATGTAATCAAAAATAAAAAGGTGATAAAATGGAATGCAAGGACGTATTTTGAGCAGTAAATCAGAAACAAGTTAGGCCATCTTTCTCCTTCTTATCTTAAGATTACCTTACAACATTTATCCTTTTATCTTAATTTCCTTCATTAAAACACCATCAAAGACTAGAACATGTTCAAAGAAAATGGATATGATTTATGTATATGGTTCCCTGCTGGGATAAAATAACAGGCTAGTTGTTTATTTACCTACATAAAAAATATAGGCCATGAAAATAGTATACTGTTTATTATAAACCAGACCGTGCTCGCTTCTAACGATAGGTTGCCCGGAAATGCAACATTCACTAGCAAGTCCGCCGTGTCCATATAAAGGCATATTGCTTATTAACCAAGTCTTGCTTACTTGCAACAATGAAATATACACCAGCTGCTGCTAAGTCGTCCGTCGTGTCCATAAAGGTCTATTAGTTATTAACCAAGTCCTGCTTACATACAACGATGAAACATACACTAGCGGCTGCTAAGTCGTCCGTCGTGTCCATAAAGGTCAATTAGTTGCTTACTTGCAACGATGAAACATACGCCAGCGGCTGCAAAGTCGTCCGCCATGTCCATAAGGGCTTTTTACATTTTCTAAGCTAATGTGTAACAAAGTATGATCTGGTATATTCCTGATAATAGATTTAAAAATTTCATATCTTGGAATTCAAAAAAAAAACATCTGATGATAACGGGTCCATTTCAGTGAGTGAAAGGTGAAGAAGGTTTGATCGATAGGCCTCGAGATATCTACAATTCTGATGAAAGAGGAGATGAGACTCTATACACGTTTCGTCTGGTTCTAGGTAATTATTGCATCCATCAGCACTGCAGTTCTATAGAAGAAAAACTGTGATGTATGGTAGCGAGGGCATTAATATAATCAACAATATGTGTGTAGCACTTGTCTACAATCGTTCGTCTCCAGGTAATTATTTCACAGGTGTCGGACACGAGATTACCTGGTTATTATCTCCTTGTACTAGACAGGGTGGGGGGGGGCGTGGTTACTATTTCTAGAGCGCCTGATCATTTGAGAATTTCATACGGTCTACCATTGATTCAACTGGCGTTGTTTCGATTACCCAGTAGTACGTGACAAAGAGTAAAGAGAGAGACGGGGAAGGTGATGGGGTTTAACGTCCACGGGACTAAGATATGGTTCTTTTTTTTTTCAATAATTCGCTAGCACGTAGGGATCTTTAGCAGTGGGAGGAAACCGGAGGATCCGCAGAAAACTCACGAGTTTGGACAGGCGAGCGAATCGAAACACCGCAACTAGACCCAATGACAGATATTATGATCAAACGCACAAGCGTTAACCATTCGGTCCAACAAACGTGTACACAGAGCCCCGCTTGTCGTCCCATCCGAATGACAAGACACTGTTGTTTGCAAGTTTAAACATATAGGAATGCCATTTATAGTAACCTACATACAAATAATGGTATGCTGGAAAGAAAATTCCAATATAATCATAACCAGCTAAAATCAATTAATAAAAGTTGTGAAATATTTTGTCTACACCAGCAGAAACCAACTAAGAAAAGTAGTGAAATATTCTATCAATATTTTAAGGCACTATTTTAGATTGGAATTAAGATGTCTGGCAAAGGTTCAACATTTTGTATACTTTATAATCCGTGATGTTCCTGATGGTGTGGTAAAATATAATATTAAATTTAGATTAAGGTAAAGGTAACTTAATACACAGCACATCATAGAATAAATTGAATTTAATTTCATTTCGTTACTAGGCTATGCTGCGGTCTCGAGCTATGAAATAGTATATACTAGCATCGAATTTTTAAATTAATATCGGTTTCGATTCAAGATGCATTATGTCAGAGCTAAATCTGGCCATGGCTTCGAATGTTATATAAAGTATGATTTAGACATTTATTCACATGATAAGTCCATAATCAACTCTATCGGATGGCCGATATTTTAAATGGATTAGAACACCGTCGCTATTTAATAGTTGAACGTTAAATGGGCCATCGAGACTTATTATCGTAGAAAAGATATTTTAGATCTTGTCAAAGCATCGCTCAAAATTACAAATTTGACTGAAATTTTCAAAATATTCAGGGTTATTTTTATTAGGCTATCTATTTTTAAACTGTTATAACAAAAAGCAAAACCAGCTCTTTATCTAAATCTTACATAATACATCTGTAAGCACAATAGATTCGGCACGATTAATTCATCTAAAATCTTAAATATTAGATCGCCAAAATCCCGTCTTTCCATCCCGAAATTCGATTGAGCAAAATACATTATGGAACATAGGTGCATTTAAATCTTCTAAAATCTCAACTTTTAGATCGTCTAAGTGTTTCTATAGTAAACATTTTCTCAGAGACATCAAACGTGTCGATTACAAGAAGATGACTTGTGTCAGTAAGTGATTTGACATCCAGCTGAAGTTGTTTAGACAGATAAACTGATAGATTTGTTTATATTTACAGAAATGAGTTTGACATATATCCTGAGCTATTTGACGAGGAACGTTTGACGTCCTTAAAGAATGAAACATATTCTTTACGAATTCCAAGAAAGGTACGGTTAAATTTTGAAAAGTATAATCGGGTTCAACTTAAACGTTCCGTTCTAAGAACGGTTCAGATCTGGATCACTTTAGTTTGGTGGTCTCGGGGCAAGTCTAAGGACATTCGTTTGTTTTCATTTGAATGTATGGGGAACTGAAACTTTTGACGTCCTTGAAGAATGAAATCTCTGCATGATTCCAATTAAACATTCTGTATGTAAACTTTGCCTACGTTGTTTTGCTGTCCTCTAAGCTAGTCAGAGACTGTTGGAATGATTTCTTCTGCCTGTCTGTCTGTTCATCTGCCCGCTGTATGCCTGTCCTTCCCTATTGGAACACAGCAACCCTTGTTCAAACTGAGCTAGAATTTTAAAGCGTGGCGTCGGTATCAGTTCTTTTTTAAAACAAATACATGACATATTTTCTACGTAATCCTGTAACAGATGGTAACCTAGATACAAAATCCAACAGCAGTCACCTGGCGGGTTGTTTATATACAAGAGAAACTGTCAATCATGTCAACTCTGAAAATACTATCTCTATTATTAATCGTTTGATTTTACTCATTCGTTTCAGCTGTTTGTTCCAGTCTGTGTATATATTTGACGATATAGGTTAAAGAAGTAAGTCAAGATATATGTTTATATATTGGTCACTACTATAATATATT